ATTTAAAATTTCGAATATTCGAAACCTTACGCTTTAGAGATTATTTTTCAAAGTTTTTAAATGTTTCGAACCTAAGATCGAATTTTTTCAACATATTTTTATCTAATTTACAAGTAATTAGAAAAAGTAGTCGTTCATCTGTATCTTCACTGGCAAGATGACTAATGAATTAGAAAGTATTTATATAACACATTATTAGTAAGACCTTATTAGACTACTTCTATGTAATCCAGACCATATATAGTAGTCATTGAAAAGTATGTTGTTATGTAAGTAATTACAATTGAAAGCCATTACCCAGTTTTTGCTGGGATAATCAAACTTATGTGAGTTAAATTTACCAATACATTGAACAGTATTTTACGAATATATAATTCGAATATTCGAACCCCTATCACCAACCAAACCTTCAAGTGAAAGTTTTGACCCTTACAGGTTAACAAAAGCTTGTAGAAATTTAAATTTTTAATAGGACCCGTCTAAAATATATTTTTTTCTTTGCAGAATCGGAGCTTTGGCTAAATATCGCTGTGAACGTGGTTACAAAATGGTAGGTGAAGCTTTAGTGACCTGCGAAGATAATGGACAATGGAGTGGTAATGTTCCCGAATGTGTTTGTAAGTTTCCATTAAATAATATCAATGTGAAGAATTTTTAATAATTTATTACCATTTTAAAGATGTTGAATGTGGTCCACCTATGAATATTACCTTTGGTAAAGTCACCTTGGCCACAAATGCCACCTATTATGGAGCAGCTGCTCTCTATGAATGTGATAATAATTTCAAATTAGATGGTGTTTCAAGACGTTTATGTACCGAAGATGGTACTTGGAGTCATGAGGCCCCACATTGTGTGGAAATCACCTGTGATGAACCAGATTTAGGCGAAAGTTTGATAGTAGAGGCTGGTGAAAGATCAGTGGGTTCATTAGCTAAATTTAGATGTCAGAGAGGACGTAATTTGATTGGTAATGATACGAGGGTGTGTCAGAAATCTGGAAAATGGACCGGTAAAAGTCCAGTTTGTAAACGTAAGTATATTTAAATATCAAAATTAAAATCCAATTTTTAATTGGAAAAATTTTTTAAAGCTGTTGATTGCGGACGCCCCTTGCCCATTGAAAATGGTCGTGTAATTGTGGTTAACGAATCTACTTTGTATGGTGGCTCAGCTGAATACCATTGTATACCCGGTTTTAATCGTATAGGCCAATATTTACGTAAATGTACCGAAGATGGTATGTGGAGTGGTGATGAGCCCCGTTGTGAATTGACCGCTACAGAAGCGCAAGAAAGTGGTAGCTTAGGAACAGGCATAGCTATAGGTGCCACAGTTATTATAGCTCTACTCATATTGATCGGTTTAATATTTATACACCGCAATAAAGCCCGACCAGTAAAGAATACGGAAAATATACAGGCCGCCGAAACTAAAGATGAAAGAAGTGCCGCCGTAATGTCTTATTCAACGCTAGAAGCCAATAATAGAAATATGCATCTCGATAATGGTCCTCCCGCTACTTTTAATACATTTCATGGTGGTAGAGGTATGAATGGTAATGGCACAGTAGGCCGATCTGGTAAGTTTATACTTAATCCATTCAAAATTAAACTACAAATTTACTGTTATTTTATATACTCTTTCAGAAAACATTTACGATCAAATACCCAACGAACAATTTTACGATGCCCCCTATGAAATGCGCACGAATGATGAAGTCTATGAACCCGAACCTACAGCTGGAAATGTCATTACTATTAATGGTATATCTGTTAGATAAACTTTTATAGATCTTATTTTGTTTATAAGATTTGGTAGTTTACTTGAACAGCTATATTCCAAAATTGTTTTATTTAAAGTAATGAAAAACAAATGACTGTATTATTATCAAAATTTGATTGAAATATAACTTTATTCCTTAAGTGTTCTAAAAAATAAAAAACAAATTTAAAACTTATGTTTTGTAGATTTTGTATAAAGAAAACTTAATTATAATTATTTAGTTTATTAAGTATTTTTTTTTTGTTTTAGATTAAAGTTTTATTGTATGTGTACATGTAAATATATAATTAGTGAGTATGTGATTTGTTATAATATATAAATACTTAAATTTATATACATATTTATTTTGGCCTTTAACTAATTATTTACCTAATGAAAACAAAAAAAAATTTAGTACTTATGTTAAAAATATAATAATAGTAATAAAAAAGTAATAAATAACTTATAAATTTGAATTTTTAATCGTTATGGCAACTATTTAATGGGAGAAAGCTTTTTATGAGCTTTTAATAATTAGTGTTGTCATTTTTTATTATAGTTTATTTGTATACTATTGAATATTAATTAATAGCTGCGTATTTTTTCTTAAATAGCAACCTTTCAACTGGAGATATCGCGATTAATTCTGTAATACTCTCTGTGGAATACAGTACTTCCAAAAAGTTTTCAAGGAACCAGTTCTTTGCACTAGTCATATGATAATTCTTCAACAGTTTTTCAAAATCGATCCTAATCTCACTAATTTGAAACAGATTTCACTTATTTCGACAGAAAAATACTATTTTCTAAAAGTGTTTTCTAAAACTTCTTAGAACTTGTTCTAAGAGTTAGTTAATTCGATAAGATCATTGATCAAATAACTAGTTTCAGAACCATTTCATATAACGAGTGTCAAATCCATAACGCTTCAACAGAACTAGTTCCGAAAGTGACAATTTCGAAAAAAATTTAATTTAAAGAAAAATTTATAAAAATATGCACCAAATTTTAAAAGTAGATTTTTTATTTTAAGTATATATATTTTTTTTGGAAAAAAACATATTTCAGTTGCACTATAACTATGCGAAATTGACACTGATAATGTGGAAAGACTTAATTTAAGGTCGTAAAATTCTAAAAATATTAGTAGAATTCTAAAGCATTGATTTTTAAATATTATTATTGAAGAAAGGGTTCATAAATAACAATTTTGTTATGCTAAATTCGTCCGGACGGATGGACGGGTCCATCCAATTTAAATAGAATTTTTTGGAAAATTTGGTTAGATATACAATTTTCCCCAAAACAATGGTTAAAGCTCCCAACGGCTCGAAAAAACAAATAACATTTATTTCTGATTTCGTAATGAATCGAAACTTATACGAATAATTTTTAAAAAACAACTAAAACTATTTAATTTTCATAAAAAAATATAATTTTACTAAAAAAATTTAAATTTCATTATAATAATTAAATGTTCATAAAAATACAAATTTTTATAAAAAATGTGAAATTTTATAAAAAAATGTGTTCTAAAGAAAATTTCTCTTTTATTTTAAAAGTTCGAATTATTACTAAATAACAATTTAAAAAATTTTCCCATAAATAATTTTAAATGTCTTCGAAATATTTGTAAAAGAAACTTCTGGCAACCATATAAAAAAGCTTACAAAAAAAACTATCTTGATAACAGTTTGAAAAGTACTGTAGAAAAAATTTTAACATGAAAGTTTATTGTGTACAGTAAACTCTAGTTAAATAACAAATAATGTAAAATGTATGTACATTAGGGAAATAAATAACTAATTTTGGAAACATTACGCACAAACAGAAATTTCTAATATAAACCGATTTATTTCAAGTTTTTATACCCACCATTAAAAATGATGGGCGGTAAATTGTTTTTGTCATACCATTCTTCGAAATATTGGTCATAGACCCACAAAAGTATATATGTATATTCCGGGCCGTTATTAAATTCTAAGACGATCTAGCCATGTCCGTCCGTTTGTTGATAACACGATACACAAATTTTCCCTATAGGTAGGTTTGTTTGGTATTGAAAATGGGTAATATAGGTCGACATTTTTGCATAGCCCATAAAAGTGGCCCCCCGAAAAAAAACTTTAATAGTCATAACTGTTTTAAAAATAAGAGTATATCAATGAATTTCAGCATAAATAAGTTTTATATGCGAAAGAAGTTCGCTATCAAATTTTATGAATAACGTTCCATAATTTACCCTACCTCTCATAAAAAGTGCCCTTCAGAAAATGACGTTAATGCCCATTACTGGCTTAAAAGTACGAGTATAGCGATGAAATTCAACATAAACTATGAGCCATAATCTCTGTACCAAATTTTATGGGGATCGGTCCATAATTGACCCTGCCCCTCATATAAGGCCCCCTTCAGAAAACTACTTTAACGCTCATTACTGGCTAGAAAACACGAGTATAGCGATAAAATTCGACATAAGTAAGTTTCCTACGAGCCAAAATCTTTGTACCAAATTTTATAGAGATCGGTCCATAATTTACTCTACCTCCCATATAAAGTGCGCTTCAGAAAATGACGTTAACGCCCATTAATGACTTAAAAGTATGAGTATAGCGATGAAATTCAACATAAATAAGATTCCTATGAGGCAAAATCTCTGTACCAAATTTTATGGGGATCGGTCCATAATTAACCCTGCCTCTCATATAAGGCCCCCTTCAGAAAACTACTTTAAAGCCCATTACTGGCTAGAAAACACTAGTACAGCGATGATATTCGACATAAGTAAGTTTCCTACGAGTCAAAATCTCTGTACCAAATTTTATGGAGATCGGTCCATAATTGACCATACCCTATATATGGTCCCCTTCAGAAAATTATCTTTATCGAATTAATTATTCGACATAAGAAAATTTCTTACGAACAAAAATCTCTCAAACTAATTTTTTGGGGATCTGTCCGTAATTGAACCTACTCCCATATAAGGTCCCCTATAGACTTGTTATGAATCAAAATTTTTGTTAAAAATCAACAAAAATTATTTGTTTTAAAACATTAGTCACAATTTTAAATTCTATAGAGCTTGGCCCATTACCCACTCATTTTAGGCCATATTCCGAATATCATCATGTTATGGATCAATTCTTAAAGATCATATATAAAAAATTTGAAATTGATATTTTATGTAGATTTTTAACAGAAAAGGTTATATATACTTGATATTTTTAGAAACTTACCAATAATAAAGACATAATCATCATCTGAAATAAAAAAAGTATTTTAAATAATTAGAAAAGTTATTAAATTAATGTTTTAAATTTAAAAATGTATATAGAATGTTTTCCCATATATAAATAAACATAGATTTTTTGGATCGAAATGGATCATATTTCCAATATCTTTTAAGGATATTAAGTTTGTATATAAAATGTTATGAAATAAAAATTAAATGTATAACAATATATAAATAAACATAGATTTTTTGGATCGAAATGGATCATATTTCCAATATCTTTTAAAGATAATAAGTTTGTATATAAAATGTTATAAAATAGAAATTAAATGTATAACAATTTGGCGTGATTTGAAGCATATTTAAAAATACAATTTACAATGTTTTCTATGATTATACAGAAATATTTAAATATAATGCTACAAATAACTGAATCGTGTCCAAAGTCATGTACCCATAGTATGTTTGTATATGGAAATTTATAAATTTTGTCTATATCTTGAAAATGGTTATCGCAAAAAATAAACATCTGTAAAAACTAATACAATTTACACTCCTTCGTAGAAACATTTACTTATATTATGAATAAAATTATAGCGCTAAAATGGTTGCTATTACCTATTCCAACAACTGCTGATGAAAAACTAAACAGCAGATTGTAAAAATTCCAAGTACAAACTTAAGGATTTATGATAAAGCAAATGTTTGCCAAGTAATTTACATGGGATTTCTAAATGGATTTGAGTAATATAAGTTTATGTCCTTTTAGCATCTTCTGGGAAAATATGTGCAGTGGTACTTTATTTGGCATGCTTGTCCACCATGATGGAAGACACTTTTAATACCTAAAGGAGTGGCATTTTCCATCAGGTACTGTTGTACTCTATTTGCTAACCAGATGATAAATAAAATTTTTGGCGCGAATTATGCACTTAATATCGCTAAACGTTTTAAAAACTACCTGATTGCATGGCAGGTACAGTGTGATACACAGCTATAAATACTGTCATAAGTTGATGCAGCAAATCAGTTCAATTTGCAATTCATTGCAACTCAAAAGCAAAAGTTTCTTTTTATCCCAGTGAAATATTTTAAAAATATAAAAAAATATTCAATCAGTTGTTATTAGAAAACTGTTTGATAAACATGATTTTGGCAGCACGTAAACATCTCTTTGCTACCAACATCATTTTCTTTTTCATCATCTATGTCGTACAGAAGTTTATACAAGTCTTCTGTATAATTGAAGAGAAGGCCTGCAATAATGCCAATTGCTCTGCCAACAATCGTTGTGACGATCGCTGTAAACCGAATACTGTCTCAGCTCCTCTGCCAGCAGCGCCCTCTACCATTACGCCACCTCAGTCGCCTAAACCCCAAGTGAAAGGTCTTCGTCTGATACCATTGGCCATGCGCAAAACTATGCGCAATTTCGGTTACGGTGAGGGTCACTATCAAATGTTCGTCGAGGAAAAACAACGCAAACAACACACCTCGAAAGCTCGCTTAAATGCGGCCGTTGCTGAAGTTAAACTCAATCCTAATTAGTTTCAGTGGGGAAAGCCCCGAAATAAACAAACGTTTGGTCATTTAATACAGAACGAATGTTTGACAATTTTACTATGTACCTCTTCATTTTCAATAAAGTTCATAAATATTTCTCCCTTCTGTGCATAGTTAATACAAAGAAATGTTTAATTTAAATTAATCGCATTGCGGAGAAACTCAATTACAAAACAACTAAAAGCTGAAAACTAAATTTATATTAAATATTAAACAAATGTCTAAGACCGTATTTAATTTGAAACGCTTAATTCTTAATTTCGATTTAAATACAAAACTGTATTCTATTGTTATTAGTTTATTTTGTATTAAATGTTATACGTTTTGTAAATTTTCAAGAAAACAAAAATATAAAGATCTGTTTTATAGATTTCGTTTCCTTTTTTTTACCAAATTTATATTGTTTATTTTAGAAAAAAATGTTAAATAAATTATTTAACATCAACAGACGTAACGTTAAATGAAATAATTGTGATTATTATTGACATTTCCGTTTTTTGGCTCTGACGTTTGGCAAGTGTTTGAAATGTCAATAAAACAAAAATAATTTAAAAACAGAATGTTCTAAAAATATTTATTTTTCTAATAAGTGTGTAAGATCTAAGATTAATTATGATTGTCTGGTATTTAAAAGATCTTACAGAAGGCGTTTTTCTAATGAGGTTAAAAATATTGGAATTATAAATGTTATATAATTTTTATAATATATAATTTTTGGTAATATATGGCAGTTTTCCTTATATTCACTAAATTATGTTCTGCTAAATCTGATCATTAAGAAAAATTTCGAATTTCTCCAAGTCTACGATTTCAGCAATACACACATTTTAACTTCATATTGTGTTCTTCAATGTATCAGGTTTTTATACCCTACACCACTTTAGTGGGGAGGGTATATTGGATTTGTGCTGATGTTTGTAACATACAAAAATATTCATCCTAGACCCACCAATGTATACCAATCGGCTTAGAATCGTTTTCTGAGTCGATTAAGCTATGTCCGTCCGTCTGTCTGGCTGGCTGTCCATGTAAACCTTGTGCGCAAGGTACAGGTCGCAATTTTCAAGATAATTGGACGTTTTATTTGACGAAGCCTATTGAAAATGGTTAAAATCGGTCCATTATTTCACCTAGCCCCCATAGAACAGAACCCCCCTGAGCTCATAATTATGTTAAATATACAGATATATCGATAAAATGCGGCACAACTAAGTTTTATAGAAGTCCGGATGACCCTGCCAAATTTCATAAAGATCGGGCCCCATTTGACCGTAGCTCCCATACAAAGTCCCCTTCAGAAAATTACTTGAATGTACAAAATTAACTTATAAACACAAATATCGCGATGAAATTCAGCAAAATAAAATATTATGTAAATATAAATATATTCACAAAATTTTATCGGGCTTGGTCCATATTTGCCCCTAGCCCCCATATAAAGCCTTTTTCAGAAAATTAGTTTTTCATCCATAAATTGCTTAAATATATCGGAACAAGGGAATATTGAAGATAAATGCTTTATTATGAAATAATATTCATAACTGGTGTAGGGTATCATATGGTCGGCCACGCCCGACTATACTTTCTTACTTGCTTAAGATTGAAATTTAATACGTCTATAGAGGGTTTGTTTATCGACTGATCAAACAAAAGTGATCTGCAGTTTAAAAATTTATTTTAATTGGTGCTTGTTTTTGTCACTGTCGTATGTATTTATTGTTCTAGATTTTTAAATAATTCTTTAATTTCCGTCAACAATACAGACTACATAAATACTGGTAAAAATGCGTCTTAATAAAAAACGAAAGTGATTTTGTTAAATTAATTGTTGAAAAAGTACAATTAAGAAATATACGTCTAATTAGATTTATTTTACCGAGATGATGCATTTTAGCTATGACTATTTATCAACATGCCAAATTATGATTCAACAGTCCTATAATTATCTTAAATGAGTCGATCGTAAAATATTTTAGATTTATATGATTTATAATTTCCCGGACTTTTTTCATTCCAGGGACTTTCCATGAAATTATAACGACGGACCATTCCGTTGTTTGAATAACAAATATCTCACATGGTTTATAAACCTTTTATAAAATAAAATGTTGTTGATGAATAAGGAGTTATATGTATTTCAAGTATTCACACTGAAATCGAATTTCTTAGAAATCGTTAAATGGAATTCCCGAAAATTCCGAAAAAACATTCCCGGTAATTCTTGGGAAATTTTTTTCGTTTAGAAAATAATAAAATTATAAACTTATTTCGATGGTGTACCATCTGCCGGATTGATTTTCATATATACGATGAAGACTTTCATTAAATATATGCGCATTTCTTCGATAAAATAATATTCAAATTTTTTTAAAAAAAAATTTTTTGTTGTTTTAAAATTTGAGCACAGATTTTTATACCATATACCACTGCGGTGGGTATGCACAAAAATAAACTATACCAATCTTCTTACAATCATTTTCTGAGTCGAAAAGCCGTGTCATTTAGTCTGCCCAGATGAACATTGTAATTATGTACAGATCGTATGTTTATACCATTTATGTTCGCGAGAAGGGTATGAATGAATGTCGAGTGCTTTACGTGAACACCTGCCGTGTTGGCCTATTTCTCAACCACTGGGTGAGCTTCTGCGACGACTCACCACCGCCCCATTGCGTATCTTACGCGCTGGTGGCAGTTCTCGTATATGGAATGTCTGGTCCAGTATACGTGAGCTTTGCTCCAGTACTTCAACTATATAATCTCTGACCATTGCTCCGAGATGCAAAAACATCACAGCACCCTTCTCATTTATCCTACACACTCATAGAGAACAAGCGAGTAAGATCCGTTTACGCCTACATTCATCCTGTATTATATACATTTAACACCAACTCATTTCCAACGTTTAGTCCCACAGTCATTCCTCTGTGGGGTATCTGTTGTCATTCGGCAACAACACCGAACTTATCCCGAATCACAGATTTCGCCGTGCATCAGTCTTTTACCCGACACTTTCTCTTCTAGCGAATTTGGGTTTAAACCACAGTCACTACGTCACTACCAACTGGCCACCCGTAATACCAGAATATGTGGCTCTCTATTTCGACACCATGTCAAAACATTCCAAGGTAAGTCCGAGGAGTGAATTAACATCACCAGTTAATAGTTCTGGCAGATTAGAGGTACTGGTAGCACCTCTTTAGCCCTGAGGGTCTATAGCCAAGGTGGGTCTATCACCAAGGAAACATGTTTAATATTCCGTTTGTAATTTTTACAATAATATATATTTTCTGGATCCTTATAGATAGAGGAGTCGATTAAGCCACGTCCATCTGTCTGTGCGTCTGTTGAAATAAATTTTCTGAAATTCTGATAAATTTATGATCAGTCTATAGAACACAATTTCCAGACTACATAACCCTTTAATGTCCAGCCCGCTGTACATATTTGTATTTACATAGTTAAAAACTAGAGTGTCCTGAGAAACAGCCTTTACAGGAATCTCATATAGAAATTTGAGTGGTATTTCTATATGAGATTCTTGATACTTAAAAAAAGATTATGATTTTCAATCGCTGGTACGAAACTGAGGACCTTTTCAAAAAAAATATATATTATATATTATTGGACAATTTCTGCTAGGACCAATAGGCGAAAAGTTACACTGATTTGAAAAAAACCCAGTATGACCAAAATGTTCAACTTTGAACCCCTCTAACTCCGGCAGTTCTTGGCCGATAGAGCCAATTTTGTATTAACCATGGTACAAATTTCATCCAAATCGATTTTTTAAGTTTGGTCACTTAACACGAAATTGCCCATATTAAATCGTAGTATTATATTTATAAATCGCTTAAACCAGGAATATGTCTCTATTTTTCATTCCTGAACTGTATTTTACATTTCCAAATTAATTTGTTACAAATAACGATTTAACTAGTTGAAACAGAAAAAAATCTTATTGGAAAATATGTATTTAGTAAATCATTAAATCTCTACTTTAAACTAGGTACACACATCAAATGCAAAAGATATTTGAAAATCTTTAATCATTAGTAAAATGTCAAATACACTAAGTATGTATGTATCTTAAGGATTTATCTAAAACGTTATAAAAACATGCTTTCTTATTAAGCCGAAAAACATGCAGCTGACAGACAATATGTGCTCAAAACAAAATACTAAAGAGTCGTAAAAGAGAACAAGATTTGTTTAAATCTACCTGTAATTAGAAAAACTATAGATAGGCGAGCTGAGGACCTGGGTGGTTTACGACCGTAGCGACAAAATTCTTATTATACACACAGAAACACTAGAAATTAATTCTTATTACAACTACAAATTTAGGCAATTTAAATTCTAATAGTTAATATGACTCAGATTACAAAATTGTCGTTACCAAAAACAAAATTAATAACAAGGAAAAACAGGAGAGGTCTAGTAGAAAAAAACAACAAAAACATCAAACAAATTATGTTGAAGTCAGCTACCTGTTGCTTTAATTTATCCCTAAAATAAGGAAAAAGGTAGAATATATACTGTGTAAATCTCTGTGTGTGTATGTTGACAAACTAATTTGTTTGTGACCTTTTTCTTGTTGTTGGGTCAATCATAGTTGTCATATGGATTTCCCATTTTATTTAAGAATGGGTTTTTGGAAAAATAATATTAGTTGTTTAAAAACTTTAAAAGCGAACACACTTACTTGTGTTGCTTACTTTCCCTCGGTAACTAAGGAAAATTTAAAACAATCAACTTTTAAAGGATATCAAGGATATATACGCACATACATATGCAGTGATTTTTAATAAAATTGTTTTTGTTTTCATTGTGACTTGTTTAACAAACTAATTGAAATGTGTACATTAGTTTCTGTAAAGTATTTGCTGTATACGTTCGTTCTATTGTGTGTCATAGTTATAACTCCCAGTATTAGAGGCGAAGGTTGCAACGAATTCGTATGTGGTTCAGTAGTCTCCAAGTGTCTCTTGACACAAAGTTGTCAATGTAAACTTTCTGATTGCTACTGTTGCAAGGATTGTCTTAATTGTTTGGGGGAATTGTATACAGAGTGCTGCAGCTGTTTGGATATGTGTCCAAAACACAATGACACTTTAAGTGCCATGGCGCCAAAATCACAAATTGGTGATTTCGAGGGAGTACCAGAACTTTTCGATACCCTTACGGCTGAAGAGGATGAAGATCAATGGTCGACTATACGCTTTCCCATGCGCAATACTTTACAGCGTCACTATAATATGGCCACCGGATCATTTGGTTTTGGCGATGACATTGATGAGGATGCCTTTGCCCACAAACAACAATTAACCGATACTGTCAATTGTACGGTCATCTATTTGAATACTTGTACCACTGGCAAAAAGTGTTCACAGTATTGTGAGAGCATGGTGAGTGTGCACTGGAAATTTTCTACACTAAATCGAAATAAATGTTAATAATTTGTAATTTATTTTATTGTTATAGGGTTCAAATAGTTATCGTTGGTTTCATGATGGCTGTTGTGAATGTGTTGGTGCCAATTGCTACAATTATGGCATCAATGAAAGTCGTTGCACTTCATGTCCTGATGATGATGAGGAGGAGGACGATGAAGATTTAAATGGTGAGAACATGGACGATGATGCTGATTATGGAGAGAATGAGGAGGATATGTCTTGGGATTATGGCGAAGATGAAATGAATTATAATTAAAAAAACTAAATTAGAACAAACTAGCTAGTAACAAAAATATTGACTGTAAATTTGTAAATTAAAATAATAGAAATAAGTTTTTATAGTGTTAAAGAAATGGAACCAGTGTTAGTTGGATTTAAGTGTATCTATCTATTTTATAAAATTATGTTTAGTTTTGCTTCAAATAAAACTATGTATTTTATATCTATATATAGAAAAATGAATGTGTGTTTGTTTGTATGTTTGAACGTTATAGACTACTAAACGGCTGAACCGATTTTATTCAAATTTTCACAGCGTATTCCTGTATGTCTGTAATAGGTAATATGCTACTTTTTATTTTGAAATTCCAAGTGGGCGAGGAGCCACGCCTATATTAGGAAAATATTAAATCCGTATATTTTAGATAATATAACAGTTAGAGTCCTAAAATTTTGTCGGAGCAACTTTAGTGTCAATATAATTATTTAGGACAAAAAGTAGGCGGACTATCATTAGGGGCGTGGTACCTCCCATATAAATTAAATACAAAAATACGTTTATCTTGGAAACTATTACATTTAGAATCTTCAAATTTTGCACGAAAAACTTTAACATCCATCTAAACATTTTGGGTAATAAATTGGCGGACTACCCATGAGGGGAGCGGCACCTCCCATATTAATTAAAGACAAAAATTCGTTTATCTGGAAAACTAAATTCTTCAAATTTCGCACGAAGAACTTAAATATTCATCTGAACATTTTGGAGGAAAAAAAAAACGGACTTTCATCTGGGGGGTCTTGAAGCCCCCACATGAATCAAATAGAAAAATTCTTATATCTGAGAAACTATTAGAGCTAGAATCTTCAAATTTTACATGGAGAACTTTGAAATTCATGTGAACATTTAGAGCATAACAGGCGGACTTTCAATGGGTGGCTTGGCACAACATATATGAATTAAATACAAAATTTCGTGCATCTTGGAAACTCTTATATTATTCAAATTTTTTATAGATAGATATAAATTGGCGATAGATAGAAAATGGCGAACTTGCAATAATTTGCTTGACTTCTTTCATATGTAACATATAATAAATCTAAATAATATAAAATAATATTCCTTTTAGGGTAGCAAAGCACACTGGGTATAGCTAGTAATTTATAAAACTTTGTTCCAAAAATTAAATGAAAATATACATGGAGTTTAATGCCCTCACTCTCTCCGTGAAATCAAAATTTAATTTATTTTTTGAAATATTAAATTTTTACTGGACTTTTTTTCAGAAAAAAAAGGAGCAAAAAATCATGAAACCCCAAAAGGACTGCTTTATCTTTTGATCCAGTTAACCAGCTATTGACGTAAGAGAAACAATTATGAGAAATGGTATCTTAGAATAAACTATTTCGATGGGAACATAAGAAATTTCCATTTTGGTGTCATTAGGATGGCTACATAACGTCTTTTAAAGACATTTTTTGAGTAAAGAGTTAGATTGGAGTAGGGTCATGTATGGAACCATGAAATTCAGTGGAGGATTCTGGTTCAAATAATTTTTGTTTATTTCATCGATATATTAGTGTTTGAAAACAAATTTCAGCATGACAGACTTATGTATATGAGGATTCTTTCCCAGAATAACTGAAATGTTAATCTTCATATAGTTAAACAATTTATTAATTAACATATGTTTTATTATTTTGAAAACTTTCTAATTAACTAATTGTTTAAAAGCTAATATTTACTGAAAATAAAATCTCAATTAAATTTCTAAAAAAGAGTTAGTTTTCATCTTTAAATTTCTACTATAAATACTTAGTGCGAAATTTTGTTTTAATTATACATACATATGTATAGTATTTAATAAGTTATAACGAAATGCAAATTTTGAAACTTTTACTTATTGCCTTTAGTATATCCTTGGCTTTAGCTGAAGATGCTGCTTACGAGGGAGGTGCTGAAGATGCTGCTTACGAAGGAGGTGCTGAAGAAGCACCTGTAGATTATGAATATGCCCCAGAAGCTGGTGGTGATGCCCCAAATGATGGTGAAGATGCACCATGGGGTTATGATGAGACCACAGTAGGATATGACACTGCTAAAACTAAAAGACCAATTACCGATTGCCCTCCTAGTGATGCAAATGATGATAAAGCAGTAGATATTTTTAAAAATAGTGGTGCCGGTATAATTTTTAAAGATCTTGTTAAAATTGATTTTTTCTTGCAAGGAAAAAATTCAATTAAAAACAATTAATAAAGTATAGTCGGTCAAGGCCGACCATATGATACTCTACACCAGTTATGAGTATAACTAAAACATGTATAATCTTTAATTGAATTTTACCTTAATTTCGATATATTTTTATGGAAAACTGATTTTTGAATGAGGCTATACATGGGGACTATGGGTCAAATATTAACCGATCCGAGCATATTTATGGTGACATGAAAGTTTGTTGTGCCGAATTTCATTGAAATACACGTGTTTATAAGGGAATTAACGACGTTAAAGCATTTTCAGGAGGGGACTTTGAAGAGAAACTAGGGTCAAATAAGGTTCGATTATTTTGAAATTTGGCAGTAATATTTAAACTTATATGAAACGTAGTTGTGCCGAATTTCATTGAAATACACGTGTTTATAAGGGAATTAACGACGTTAAAGCATTTTCAGGAGGGGACTTTGTAGAGAAACTAGGGTCAAATAAGGTTCGATTATTTTGAAATTTGGCAGTATTATTTATACTTATATGAAACGTAGATGTGCCTTTTTGTCGAGATATAAGTATCCCAGCAAAAACTCGGTAATGAATTGCACTTATATAACCACTTACTTTCAATGACTACAACATACTGTCTGTATTACTTTTAAGTACTCTTATAATGGCTTACACATGTATCGCGACCTAGCAACTGTTTTACTCACACAGAAACTTCTATTTGTAAGTACTTATTTAAGTAAGTGAGCGTGGTAAGTACTTGCCTCCAATGTCATCACCGTGTTAAAATAATGTGATAAAATGCTAATGGATAAGTAGTGAAAAATGGCCTTTTTAGCTTATTTACTCATTACTTTTCAATGTAAGTTTTTGCTGGGTGTAATTGGCATAATTATGAGCTCCAAAGACTAATTTTTGGATTTCTGTTCTATGAGGGCTAGCTGAAAATGAAAATGGGTTATATAGAGGGTACGGCTAACTATGGACCGATACTCATGAAATTTGATAGACGGATATTCGTTACTTAAATATTACGTGTTTATGTCAAATTTCATCGCTGAAATTTGCTGAGGAGAACTTTAGAGGCAGGCTAGAGTGAAATATGTCTCAATATTCACCATAATTTGCAGTGTAACTTGTGCCGAATTTAATCACTAAAAGAATAGTGAAAAAAAATTATGAATATTTTAACTGTATACCGAGGGAGACACATGTATGTACCGATATTGTCCATTTTCAATACTAAACAAACCTTATCAAAAGAGACTATTTGTGGACAGACAGAATATTATAAACTTCTTCAAAACAGTTGTAAATGAAAGGTGACTTTATTTAAAACGTTCTCAAACAGAAATAAACTTTTGTAATAGTTAATATTTTGTCAACAAATATTTATTTAATTAAAAAATAAATAAAAGCAAGAATCCAAATGTTTTAATTATGTTACAACTTGTAATATTACATTCAGCTCTAATAAGTTTATTTCAAATTTGTACATAAATACTCGTTTTAAGCACAACAAATAACAGTTCAAATCAACAGTTGATTTGACTTGTAACACAACTACTGCGACTGTTAAATCCATTAAACAAGAGGACTATGAAGTTTTTTACACTCTTTTTATTAGGCCTCCTATTGGTCATGGTTTCGGCAGAAGATGCCGCAACAGAAGCTGCTGACGATGATGTCACAACAAAAGATCCTCCTAAAGATGGTGACGTCACGGAAGCACCTCCAAAAAATCCTCCAAAGGATGGACCACCAGCAGCAGGTTCCAAACCACCCGCTAAGCCCGCTGCAAAACCTACAAAGAAACCAGCAGTTAACAAGAAGCCAGCAAGCCCTCCTAAAAAACCTGTAAATTCCAATAATAAGCCGTCTAACGGAAACAACAACAGCAACAAGAATATTAAAAAAGAAAATCCAAAGAGACAAAAGCAAATTAAGAAAAGACAAAGGGAAATCAAAAGGATTAAACAACAGATTAAAAAAGAAGAACAAGCTAATAAAAAGCGTCAAAAAGAAATCAAAAAAAGAAAGCAAGGTGATAAGAAGAGGTCGGCGCTAATTAAGAAGAGAAAAAATATCATGAAGAAAAGAAGACAAACTATATTGAAACAAAAAAGGGAACTTAGAAAGTTACAGTTTCAAAATAAGAAGAAACGTCGTGCCAATAGACGCGGATAAAAATTGATCGTTTTGAAGGATTTATCTCAAAGCTAATAAAATCTGAAAAGTTTTATAATGATTACATAAAAAAATAAATAAATAAATTGAGGAATTTTATTGCATTAAAACATTTGTTTTTTAATCATTTAATAGGTTTACTATTTTATATAATTATAAAAATTCTTGTATTTACGGTTAAGGTTTAATATCTATTATTTTGATGTTATATTAAAAATGGCTCTTCACTTTATATATTTCCTAAGATTAATTTCAATCGGTTGAAAATTAGATAATATTTCAATATGGTTTCAAGATAATGCCACAATATTGCATGGTTTAAGTTTGGTCTTCACAGTTTATGGGTTAACATTAGTTTATTTTATTAAAACTTCAGATTTATATTTCCTCTTATCTGGAATTTTATATTTAGAAAGGGTTTTATATATAAAATGCATGATAGTAAGGAATTTAATCTAATTTTCAAAAATATTACCAAAGAATTGTGTTCTCCTAAATCCTCAAAATTCAAATCTCAGTTATCGCTAATCTGTGGGAGATATCCACCTAATTTCTTTACTATTTTGTACTCTTCTTCATTGTCCATAAGTCACAGGAAGACCATATGATATCATACACCAGCGATTATG